TGCGCTGGACAATGACCAGCTACATATTCCATTCCGTGGAAGCAAACTAACTGAGGTGCTCCGCGACTCATTTGTTGGAAACTCAAGAACTGTGATGATTTCATGCATCTCTCCAAACGAAGGATCATGTGAACATACCCTTAATACATTAAGATACGCAGATCGGTATGTTTTCATGAGCTAAGAACCTTTCTAAAATAACTCTCAATTTCATCTCATGCCTGTAACTTACTAATTCAAACAGGGTTAAAAGTCTATCCAAAAGTGGAAACAACAAGAAGGATCAAACTTTCAATCCGTTGCCTCCAGCTAATAAGGATGTTTCTTTGGCTTCTTCTCAACTTGCCTCAAGTGATGTAGAAGATGTCTTTGAGCCTCCACAAGACGTGAACGTACAAGAAACAGGGAGGAGGGTAGAGAGAGACAACTACTCTACTTCAGGTATTGAATTCAAGCAGCCTACACATTACCCATCTTCATACCCGGTCAACTATAGAGAGGAAAGTGGAATACCATCGATATCGATGGACAAAGGAAGATCTGATACGAGCAATTCTTTTGGCGGCTCCACTAGTCAAAGGATTCACTCATCTTCTTATTCTCAAGACACCTCAGATCAAGAAGAAAAAGTGAAGAAGGTATCACCGCCTCGTAGGAAAGTTTCGCGGGAGGAAAAACCAGAAAGACCTCAAAACTGGTCAAAGAGAGAAGTCTCCAGTGCGTCTGATGTCCCTGCCGCGACAAACTCTAGACAGCATAATATTATCACAAGTCAGAACACAAGCCAGAACACAAGCGATACTGCTTCAAGGCAATATGAAACAACGGAGCCTTCACTCGATGAAAATATAGATGCTTTGCTTGAGGTAACCCATCTGTTTCTAAAACATGCAGGTCATGAATTTTACAAGCTTTTGTTCACGGGACAATCTTTAGAAACCTGTACTGCGGTTTAATATATATTGGTTTAATATCTGGCAGGAGGAAGAGGCCTTAATTACAGCACACAGAAAAGAGATCGAGGATACAATGGAGATTGTTCGTGAGGTAAAACTCACTGACCTTCTTGTTATTATTAGTTTTACGTCTTGTGGTTATTTTGATATTCGTTTGGGTCTTAATAGGAAATGAAATTACTAGCGGAGGTGGATCGGCCAGGGAGCATGATTGACAATTACGTTACACAACTGAGCTTTGTGTTGTCCCGTAAAGCAGCTGGGCTCGTTAGCCTTCAAGCTCGCCTTGCACGGTTCCAACACCGTCTGAAAGAACAAGAGATACTTAGCCGGAAGAGAGTTCCGCGCTAGCAAAAAGAGAGTGAAGTTAGTTTGGGTTCTAAAATCAGGTGATCTTTTTATTCTGAATACACACAAATCTTCCTTCCTTTCTCGTGTTTTGTGAATTGGGGAATGTGTTTTTATCTTGTGAGGTGGGTGGGGCTTTTAATTTGTCGATTTTTACATTTTGGGGGGGTTTTGATTTTATGTGATCCTTGTTAACAATTGTATTCAATGTCTTCTACAAACTTATTGAAATGTGAATTGAAAGTTCTTTATACTGCCATAATTAAAGCTTCCGTTTATTGTACATTTGTAACACGTTCGTCTATTTAGAGCATTTCTAATGGTTTATACTATTTTTTACACCAAAAATAGGGTAACACCAGAATAGTGTTGGATAGGGTAACACCAGATTTTTTTCCAATGATTTACACCAATTTTTACACCAAAATAGAATATTCTTAATAAATTTTTTTTTCTAATTCTTTAAAATTTACAAATCAACCCTATTTTTTTTTTAAGTTTAAAAAATTATGAAATAAATTAAATTTAATATTTATTATATAAAAGAAATACATTGTAACATATAAAATAACGAAATATATTAAGCTTTTGTTTAATTATTATCAAACATATTAGATTTTAGATTTAATCATCACAATTTGTATATGTTTTTCATTAATTTTAAAGTTGATTAAAATTTAAATGACTTTTTTATAAATAAAAAAGTTCAACACCAAAATGGTGTAAAACCCTCTCCAACCAAACACTATTTTTGGTGTTGAACTTTTTTATTTAAAATAGTGTTTACACCATTTTGGTGTTGAAAATAGTGTTGGGTTGGAGAGAGTTTTACACCAAAAATAGATTTGATGTAGGATTTGGTGTACCATTGAAGATGCTCTTAGAGCATCGTTATCGGAGAACCTCCAACTTATCTCTTAACAAATAA